TTTTTCGAACGTATTTGCATTCGGGTTCGTGGGTTCACACGTCAAGTTTTGTTTTTAAGTGGACGACCGGAGTGACAGTAGTGGACCTGGTATTGGCATTCTTGTTGACGTAGTTTCGTTTTCTTCGACGCGCTGATGAGGTGTGGCCCTGTGCGCTTGGCCCCAGACCCCGATGCTGAACGAGCTGCCTTGCTGGCCGCTGTGCAGGACTGTTTGGACAGCTAGCAGCATATAGCAGTTTCAATGCATATGCAAGTGCTGGCGTTCTTCTTACTTGTAGGAATGGATTGTCCAAGACAATAGGCTAGAAACAACTTGCCAGTGGGTTTGATTTCAAATGTAGTCACATTGAAAAGTTTTGTCGAACGTGCTTGTTTCCTTCCAGGAGCAGCTCCAACTCAATCTGGAGCTTCAATCTTTACTCTGAAAAAAGATAATGCAGAGGCGAAGAAGATATCAATAGATTCTAATAGATTATTTAGATGTGGAACAGACGGTGCTCTTTCTCCCAGCGAAAAGAGCTACAAATATCAAACTCGCATTCTTTGGAGGTAAATTTGTAGCTCAAACTATGGGATCCATTGGGCTCTATGGGATGTTCAAGCGAGATCTCCATACTTTCGCGGCTTGTTGTCTACTTTTTCAGGGTCCAAAAGGTGAAGGAAGTCCCTTCGATAGGCTTTCACTTTGAGCTTCCAACCAGATTGAGAATGAAGAGTTTTCCACGAAAGAGTTTTCCTTGTTTTGAGCTCCTTCCTTGTTCTCAGCACAGCATCACTAACCTGTGATCTCGAGTGGGCTGCGAACATGCACCCTGCGAAATTCAAAATCATGTGGATTAAATGCCTTTCGCTCTCAATTCACGTCACCAATTTTTGCATAGCCCTTCTCTGGGATGAAATACCCGTAAGGACCTAAGTGGAGAAGTCCTTGTTTGGACACTCATACCGTAAATGTGATCCCCGTGGTGTGGATGCTTTGCTGTTTGCAGATGTCGGGTCTGTGCATTTGATTCTGCGAATCAGGGCTGGTCAATCGTTTAGTTTGTTTGTGGATGTTTGTGGGGTGTGTACTACTTGCTTTGACCAAACATCCGAAGGTGGTAGCTTGTCTGCGAAGGTTCCGTGCCACCGACACACACCGTATTTCAAGTTAATGGACTCAATGTCCACAGCCCATCACCGTTTGTTTGCTTTGTTGTGGTTGTGGTTGCGTGGCCATTGTTGACCTTTTTACGCCAAAGCCAAGCAGAATTATCCGAAATGTCTCAATCTTGGTTCCTTTGTGTCCGAATGATTGAATGTGAAAAGGAACATCGCGTAGAGCCAGTAACAAGATCTCGGGTTGCAGCTGCAGCCCGAGTGGTATCCTAATACTCTTGGTAGTGCAACTATGGCTATGAGCACATATTATTTGGATGGATGGATGGACCGATATGTATGAACAGATAGAATTCCGTAGCAATGCCGTAGTAGCTCTAGCCTTTGTGTCACTTGCTGCTCTGTATTTTGTAGCATACAACGTATTACAACAAAAGCTTGCGGCGCCCCACCAGCGAAACAAGCCCATAGTGATCATACATGTGGAGAAACTTGAGCTCTTCCATATCCAAAAAAGAAAGGATGGCACTGGTTCAATGTCCTGACAGCCTCTTTTTAACGTGTGACGTCTTGAAGGTATGACAAGAGAAACTCGCTCAAAACCCTACCAATTCGCAAGCTAACGCGTGGTTTCTTTGTCCACACGCAAGGCGCAAAACATTTTGGTTCATATTTTGTGACGGATCTGAGAAGGGTGCAACTACATTCGATTTGAAGTTATTCGCGGTGATCATCCCCGTGTCCAACTGCCATATTTAATATTTGGCTCGAAGACAACACATGCACTTGTTAAAAGTAGCAAAGTACTGTTGGACTGACCACACAGTTTGTAACGTGTCGGCATTCAGCTTGAACAGGTGGTTTTTAACAAACAAGCCACTTTTCGTGTAAAGAGATGGAAGCGAGAGACATGGAGCAAGAAGTGCCAGAGGCGACCAAGACGGTCAGAAGTGGGTAAGTGCCGTGAGAAAGCCTCCAACCTAATAGCGACCTAATAGCAACAGAGTGCCATAGAGTACTCAGTTTGGACACTTCCTAGTAGCGATGCCCTTTGCTCCTAGTAGCTTCTTGTTCCTAGTAGTTAGTAGGGCCAGGAGTCCCTAGTAGCGTCCTTGCTCCTCCTTTGGGTTTGATGCCCTGACAGTATTCTTGCTGCACAGGAAGCCTCAGAGTATCAAGTTGTGGAAGAAACTGATTACGTTGACTCAGAATTCGATGAAGGCAGGCAGAGCGTGATGGAATTCCTGTTGCTGATGTCGGACGTTGACAAGATTGAGGAATCAGCCTTGCTACTTACTCTGCTACATTGTGAAATACGAGGAGCATGTTGAGCCTGCCTGAGGCAGAGCTACACATTCCGAGCATGCCTTTGGTGAAAACATGAGCCTATTGGATGTGCGCGGGTGCCTAGCGCCAGTGCGATGGCCTCCAGTCGAGAATGACATGCTGAGATTCAAGTTGTTGATTTTCAGACATAAACTGTTATGTAACACATACACTTTTCAGTTAACAATGTCTTCAAATAAGTCTGTGTTTTTTTCTCTTCTTCTCTTATCTTCTCTTCTTTGCCTCTTCTTCTCAGGACGAACACCGAAAGTTGTGTTTTGCGTCGCTCCTGGGAACTCTTGCTGGGAGCTTTGGGCGAACGGGAGTCTCTGGGCGATGCGCTCTATGGAGCATTGACCGGGTCACTCGTCGTTCTAAAGGAGCGGGTTTTGTGGTCTATACATGCATCTTCATGCATTATGAATCCCAAAATTATGCAAATTTGGGATTGATTTGAGAGTGCGTTGGGTTATTATTTTGTGATTTTGGTTTGATGAATGCTGCCTATTTCACATATTTCACCCACTTCCAGTGTGCTTAATCAGAGATCGGACGGGGCATGAATGAAGCTGCATGAAGTTTCTCCAAATGTTATGCTTTGTTGAAGCAGAGTCGAATGTGTAGACAGAATGATGAGAGTCAAACCAACTTGCCAAACTACTTTGAAACATTAGCTTGTACAAGCGGCGGCCAGGAGAGCTTCAAAAATCCCAGAGCAGTGACCTCGTTGAAGCTGTTTAACGGCTTCCGAGTGCTCACTGAAAAGAGCCATAATCCGGAGGAATTGAAGACGCACATTGAGACCTTGGCATTTAAGCCACTCAGCGAAGCTTTGCAATGCCCCAGGGTTGTCATAGTCCCAGGGTTGCTCGTCCCGGTAGGAAATGACCAGAGCTGGTGTTTTTCTCTCCGAGGCATTTGGGGAATGATATCACTCAGCCTCGTGTTGACGCCGTGAATGACGCCTTTCTTGAGCTCTTAGAACAGAATGTCTCAGATCTTCCTCCTGGCAGCGTAAGCGCTTGGCAAAAGATTCTCATCTACACTGGCTCCTGCTTCAGGCAAGTCCAAAGGTGAAGGATATTTGGTCCAGTGATTCGCAATGATCTGGAAATATCTTAATGGCTTTGAACACATTGTTGCACAACATGTGTTTCCCCATATTCCTGGCTGTGTTGTTTGCACACAGACGTTTGTTGCACTTATGACCCCTGTAGCATAGTTGTAATGGTGTTTCCTTTGATGCTACTTTCACATACCCTACCCACAAGGATGGTGTTTGGACGAGGTTCGAGGTCGAGGTCGACGGTTGCATCATGCCTAGCATTATGCCCTGCATGGTCCATTTTTCTAATCACATTATATTTCAATTATTTCTTTTAATCATGTGGTCCTTTCATGAACGAACGAGTTCTATCGACTCACAGTCCTTTCAGAAATGCTTCAGTTTGTTGTTTCCGTTGTCCCTCTTTGAAAACGTGTTGAAATAAATGGTGCATGGTGCATATCGTGTTTGAAACACATTCGATTTTTTTTCATTGTGTTCTTCTAGTTGAGATGTGTGGCAGGTTTGTGAGTTCGACCTACACCGAGCGGCTCAAAGTCATCCAGGACTGACGTGGAGTCGACTTGTGCATTCTTTTTAAGACAAGTGTGAACTCACAGTAAACCAAGTGACATGAAGGAATTTATATATTATATTATATATATAATATATATATATAGGTTATGATAGGTTGCTTCCGTTTGAATCTGCAGTCACGCGTGATGTTGCTACGATTTGTCACGAACCTCTGACCCTTTTGGACCCGAGCTTTGAGGGTCAGCGCGCATGCGGCATTCATATCGGCACTTTTATCCGTGTGTGTGCTTTGTCCTTTTGGCATTCAGGAGGATTGGGAGGTAATCCAGGACGCGGAAGAAGCTGACACGGAAGAGTGCGTAGTGCGCAGCTTTGGAGGGATGTGTGCCTTCAGCAACGAGGTCATGGGACAGGAGACAGAAGGCTTCCGCATGAGAGAGCGGGTGGCAAACTTGGGAAACTATGGGAAAATGCACGGACACAAAAGAGACACAAAAGAAACAAAGGAATTAACTAATAATCAAAAGGCCCAAGAGGGAAAAAGGATTGAGAAAAGAAAGTAAGGGTTGTCAGCATGGCCCTGTGCCAAGAGGTCTTGGTAGAACCAGATGGTGGGCAAACTTGTGAGGCTGTTTTGCATTTTGTTTTCCTACCTTCACCTTGATTTCCAGCGTTTCACCATGGTTCGCTTGTGCGACAATTGTCTCCGCTGGGCGGGCCAAGTCCAAGTTGTTGTGTTCCCTGTCGGACCAAGTCTTCTCGTGACAGGGTGGATGGAAGAACTCTTGCGGGTCTTCCATGCTACTTGGCCATGCGGAGATGTCCGATGTGAGCAGATTGTGAGAATGTTCTTTTCCTTCTCAAGTAGCGTCCTTGCTCCTAGTAGTAAGGCCAGGAGCCGCTAGTAGCGTCCTTGCTCCTAGTAGCGATGCCATTTGCTCCTAGTAGCGTCTTTGCTCCGAGTAGTA